AACATTAAATAATATATCTTCTACCTGAACTCCATTTTGAGACTATGTGTAATATCAACCACTGACGACTACTCGTTAGATGGCGCAACAGAGTAATTTCAAAATAAATCCGGAATGTTCAATATCACTGTTCTTATTACCTATCTACCTGAATCTCTAAATTTCTACTTTCTGATGATGAATTAATTTGAAAATCCTGGCCTCACCATATTTGTTTTGTAATAATAACATTTCACGCTTGACTGAAATCAGATAGACGACTTCGTCTGGTCTCACGCGAACCCATTCATAAATTTTCTTTATATTATTACATTGGCCAAGCGCGAAACGAAGATTTGTACACCGAATATCGGGTTTTAGGAGCTTATACTATATAAGTACTAGGTTATCGATGTCTTATACAAGGCGAACTTAGAATCGGAAAAAGGGCTCATTTTGGTGGTTTTGATTGTTCTTCTCGTCAAAACAATTGTTAACTTTTATCTCAATGTTTCGAAATGCTCAAAAAATCAAATGGGTGTTCCAAAACCGGAAGCGTCACAAGCACTCCCCACTACAAAGACAAACATTGGGACCCCTACTTGCATTTTCAATTGTCCGGGGAAGAAAATTCCGCTCACAGGATATTAATTGTTACACATTGTGAGGACATAGCACGATATACGCGGCATTGAGTGCACGAAAATGTTCTTTTTCTAGTTTTGGTTTTGGATTTGGAGTGACGTAATGTGCTGCAACTTATGAATGAAAGTAAAACTTATCAACTGCAAAGCTACCCAATTACACTCAAAAAATTCAAACCTAAAACAGTTTTTCAAACTTTCTAACATTACTAAACGCCTTTGTAGACATCGTTTTAGACCCGTACCGCAATTGTTACGGTCGAACTTCCCATAGCCAAATTTGATTATGTAAAGGCCCACCGTTCATCAGGTACTTGAATGTTTCAAAATTACTGCCAAACCTCTCAATAGTAATATATCATTGCGTATACCCAAAGTCGTCTGAAGGCACGTGAACGCCTTACACAAAAATAGAGATCAGATAAGAATTTCCAAAATATTTTCATTGTTTTCTCTTTCCACTATGCTTATCTGGATTCGCCACTCGAGCTTCCTCCACAAAATGTAAATGTTGTAACAATACATCTGACTCCACTCCCTTAGTCTTAAGCATGCCTGACTATCTTGAGTGTGCAAACTAAAATACGCCGAAAAATTGGCAATGAAACTTCCATCACGCAATGGGAGCATTTGATGTGATAGTCACAGTGCTTGCAATTTTATTTTTGGAGCAGGTTGGCCACGGAAATGACGTAAAATGTGCTTGACTGCCTGGTGATTTTTGGGGAAACAAAATCTCAAAATATATACCTTTCGTGGTTATCTCTTGAATTAAATTGTATGGTAGTGTATACAAACACAAACATATTGTGCCGGATTTTTATACGTAGCTGATATTAATGTACTGCATATGGTAATTTTATGTGAAACGAGAATCTTAAACTGTGTATCTTTCGTGGTCACCCAGTTATATTTTATAGTAATGTATGAAAACACAAACATAGCGTGCCGAATTTTTCATACGCTTTTCGTTCTGAACAAGGCCATGTGCAAGCAGCTCGTGAGTAGTGACTTACTGCACGGTGATTTTATGCAAAAAAAAATCTCAAAGTATGTACTTATCGGGGTCATCAGTTTTGGATTGAATTGTATAAATATATACAGTCCTAGACAAAGCGTGTCGGCTTTTTTTATCCTTATTTATGTCTTTCGCTCAGAACAAGGTCATATAGAAGTAGCCAATGATATCTGACCATATCTAAGAGCTATACTCTTTATTGGAAAGAACCCAGTAGCGTAGCAAGACTCTCGTGGGCCTCCCCGCAAAAATATTTCGTGGAACATAACATAACATGTCGCTATAAAAAGGCAATGGTAACCTAAAATTTGCCGTTTATTTTGGTTACTTATTTTTTTCATACGTTTTTCCTCTTCTGCCATATTTCTGCGTTTCTGTGCGCCACTGAGAAGTTTTGCTTTCGACATCATTCTGACAGCCTTCGTAATTTTGCCGGTGTGATCAAACCACAAGGGGCCGAAAATCGACGACTTCCTGGCATTGTTACGTAACAAAACGATTTGAGCAGAACTAACATCAACGTTATAAGATGTGCATTACTTGTTTTGCACTGCAGCTTTTGGTTTGCGGCTTAAATTTCTAAATTCTAACCGCTTGGGCCTCTTCGCGCTGTGGGCGCGACCGCGGAGGTTGCGGGGGTGGACGCTACGCCTCTGGAAGAACCTCATATGTGATAGAAATAACGTGCCGGTGTTTTTATACCCCTTATTCGTGTCTTTCGCTCCAAACAAGACTTTATAACAGCGGCCACTGATATCTGACGATATGTAAGGGCTACTTCATTATTTGGAAAGACAGCATATTTAACACGTATGCTATAACAGATACTTTCACTTTAAAGTGAAAACTGCCATTTTTTTGCATAACCAAACTAAATACAAGCACATGCTATTAATCTTAGCGATTGAGATATCCGTTATGTTTCCGTTATTCAAAATTGGTAATTACCGTAACGTGAGTCACATTAATTAGATTAAAAAATTATGTTGTAATTTGTCTCTTGTCAGGTGAATAATCGTGACTTTCACACCCCTTTGAAACGAATGCTCCCATGACTATTTATGTGTATGGAAACAGAAATTGGAGTAATACATATGGCATCGCGCTCAAGTCTATTTTGACCTAATATTCATGCTGAAAAAGACTTGAGTGGTTCGTGGCTTCCTTTCGAGGGCTTTTACCACTCATGCACCCCCCCCCCCCCTCCCATGTTTTATCATTCCAGTGTTATTTATAATAATGATATTTTATTGGTGTATTCCAAATACCGTTATGTTAAACAATTCATACACAAAAAAAGTGAAAACACCCTGTGAAATAATCCATCAAGCAATGAAATCGCTAAGAACTGGGGAGTTTTCTCCTAAATGATAAAGTAAAATCAGTTTTGCGCCTTGCATTGTGGCCCCTCTAAACTGCTCTAGGACCATCTGAAGGGACACGGTACCTCGGCCATCGGAAGTAGTTAAGAACATAAAACACCAATTATCTGAATTCTAAATATTGAATATTTTACAGTTTTTTTTTCACCTTTCTAACGTATCGACTGTGTCGAGACGATTTGATTAATCACAAAATCAGTCATGCTTAGGCAATATTAAACGCATAAATAAATTCACTGCTTGGTTCTACATCAATTCTGGTATAAATAAAGGCTGGGACGTCTGGGGCCCCAATTGAAAATAATTTACCATCAAAATATTAGATCACACGAGTTCAGCTTTAGCCCTCGTGTTGAATTATTATTAGTTTTCTTATACAACTGGTATTCACCCCTTTCGATTTATATTGAAATTGAATTGAAGAAAAAAAAATATTATGAAATGTTAGGTCACACAAGTTTAACAAGTTTAAAATTTACATTTGGTAACGTTTAATTGCCATTCCTCGTGACTTTATTATCAATTTTAGAATACAGGGTGTCCATAAAGTCCCTTATAATTTAATTATTTTGTTTTGAAGTCGGTTCTCAATATATCTTAACCAGGTTTGTTGTTGTTTAATCAATAATCCTTTAAGCATTTTTACTTCTTTTCATACATCTTTGAGCGCCAAAACAATATATGGTATCGATAAATTCACTTTGCAATTTTAAAACATTTCAAGACTTTATGGACACCTTAGGTATGGTCAGAATTGTCATTTCAATTATTGAAACTACCTTAACTTGCAAATGTCGCAATCGGGTATTCTTTCGACAGAATTTTGTTATGGTTACAGAGTCACATGACACATCACGTGGCAGAAAGATCTCTATATCTTTCTATCTTAAAATATATTGTGACGAAACAGTTTGAAAAAGAGCTGTTGATAACAAAGATAAATTTCATGATGTGTTTGGAGTTATACACCATCCCTCCCCAAACAATGGGTCCAATAAAAAGCTTTGTTTAGTAACAATCGATCATAGGTGCGTGTAGCGTTAAATAAAGAAGGCGTGTATTCATTGATTCAACTATTTTATTTGGGATCATCTTTATTCAGGCGTGGTCCAGATATAAAACACATCTCTTATGCATAGTTTATCTGCGGCCGTAATTATTCCAAAATTATAATAATATTTTTGAGATAAAAGGGGGAATTTGACAATTATTCTCCCATTTTGTTGTGGGATTTTCAAATATTTGTACTGTAAGGTCCGGGAGCGATATGAGTTTGTTTAAATATATTTATAAATATAACCTTTTTATGGTCATTTTATTTGGGTGAAAAGTGTTTCTAAGGCACTTTCAATGCCTATGTAGTAAAAACAAAATTATTCGATTAGTTCTCTGCAAACATTAGGCCATATTATTTCACAATAGCTCCAACGATAAAAATATTTTGCTCACCACAATGCAGTGATTAACCTGAATCCTGAACTAAAATTTCCAATCTTTTTAACTAGATACCAGAACCATGGATGTAAAAATGTAGTAAAAACAAAAATAAACCATTAGTTGTCTGCAAACGTTGAGCCGTTTTACCCAATAAATTTTACAAAAAACGCTGAGCATATGTGAACTGCTTCGAGTTATCCGGCTGAAGCGGCAAATGGCAGTGTCCATCAGGTGGTCATATGGGTTTTTAATACAATGATCATCTATATCTAGTATTTTAAGTAACTCACCGTCAATAACAGTAGCTGTCTGACTGAAATTACCGAACTTTTCAGGTATCAGTATTTTGGGTGTCACTTCTTGATAGCCAGCTTTGATTTCTTGCGGCTTCCCTTCCCAGGAAAACTGTGTGATTATCTTTTTTTTCCGAACACTATATTTACTAATTTCTACTTGTCGAATAAAATTGACTTAACGCATTAATTCAGATTAGTTCGATATCAGTAATAATTTATAATTTAATATTTTCCTATTGTTTAGCCCTCGTCGTGAGATATCTGACCAAGAGATTCATCGGTGATTATGCACCTAATATTGGTAAGCTTATTTTACATTGCAGTTTTTAACATATAGCAGTAGGATATCTATATGAAGGGTGTGAGTTAGAAGCGATTTCGAAGTATAAATTTCCATTGCAATCTACATTCACAGCCCTCACCTAAACCTAACTGAACAACTAATGTTTTTTGTTTTGTTTTTACGTTGTCGGGGTGTGTATTTTGGTAAGGCTTTGTACAATAGATCATGATTGCCCTTGTCAATTGAATGTCCATAGATAGCGATCGACTCCAAAAACTTCGATCTAAGCGCTATAGTAACGCTACGGTAGTTGCAAATGTAACATGAAACATAATATGCTTTGTCATGCCTAGATGTTATCATTTCAATCGCACGACGATGTGTCACTTGGGGCGTTAAAGAGCAAGACAAAATAAGACGTATTAAACGCATCACAGATTTGTTTAATAATACGACAAATTCAATGTGCAACACTTTTCCCAGCAGAATAAATATGAATTACCTACAATTTTAAAATTGAAGCTTGTCTAAATTATAGTTGCTAAAACATTAAAAATACGGTTTATGGTAATATAGAATTTACATATGTGTTCCAAGGTAATGAAAGCCGATTTGACTACTCAATCATATAGCGAAACACGGTCTCTTGTATGTTCATCAGTCCAAGTCGAGTATGGTAAAATGGCACTGTAAGTTGTTTTCTTGGGTCATGTTAAAATATGATAGTCTGCAATGAGTTTGTGTGAAACTTCTAGTAACAAAAATGACACTAGGTTGCGCCATCGGACAATTTTTTTAACTATCTAATCACGTAAACCGCTTTATTTTTTCCCAAGTCGTCAATGTTTTCTCTCGTTTTAAGACCTCGATCGACCTTTTGATTCTAAATCCCCTGCCACGTTATTGTCGGGAAGAAGGCAAAAGAGTGAGAGGTTATGAGCAATAACCATGTCATAACTGGTTTTTCCAAACGCTGTACATGACTGGGCCACGTCTTGGTGGTGCTGCCCAATTCTTGGTAACACGCACATTGGATTTTTTGATGAATAGACTCTTAATGGGACAATCTGACCGTTTAGTTCCCCACGGATATTCTCGATTTTGAATGGATATTATCACACAATGCTACGGCCTCAATTTCATGCGGTATAATCACGGTCATAATCTCAATATTCACTTAAAAAGTCACCAGCCAGGTAAAAAAATTTTCCCTGCCTGGCCTCTTCTTGACAGTGTGTTTGAATTTATGTGTTTTGGAACAATTATCCTATGTTTTAATCTTATTATTAATCTTACTATAATGTCATATTCACTCAAGCCCCGGTCTCATTGTCAAATTTTATTAATTTACGACCATCATAAAAGAGATACATGAATGATAAAACTGTGATTGGGCATTTTCAATAAAAAAAACATACAAATTAAGTATTAAACATACATTCATAATTGAAATATAAATTTTCATTGAATTTCGTTGAAAGGATCGTTCTCACATCTCTTCGAGATCACATCAGTCAATAGATACAAATGTTTTCAAAGAAGCGCTACCCCGATTTCCTCACTATCGATCCCATATTTAACCGCATGGCGTGACGCCAACACAAATATTCAATTTAGTGACGAATGGACTGAAAATTATGTTAGGAATGAGTAAGCGACGTCAAAAACGTGTTTACGTCGACGACTATTTCCTAAGAAGTGAGAGGTATTTTGTTGAAAGGAATAGTTTCAACGTCAAGGCCTTCCTGGTTACTGTTGTTGTAGCAAATATGACGCTTCCTGCTGTAAGCCAATAAAATTTAAATTGCGTTCCGATTCCAAGTATGGACTATATGTTACGTGGGGTGACATATTTTCATATGTTTTACATAGGAGAAATAAGGGGAGGTAAATATCTTAACAGTTTAAATGATATTAAACTGTTTTGATGTCAAATATCACACTTCCTACTGAATTAACTATAATTGCTCGACGACTCCCAAGAATTGGACTTTTCTTTACGTAGTGTCACCTATTTTACCTATGGGGAGTGCGAAAGAGCAAAAATGGCGCCAAAATTCTTGTTTTGTCAAAATGTTTTGTCATGGATTTTGTGTCATGCGAAATCAACGTCAGAAATTTGTTGTTGATCAATATTTTGTTTCCTACTGGACTTCGTTGAACTTGATTCTCGCTTCTGAGCTCCAGTACTGCAAAAAAGGTGTGGAGGTAGTAAAAGTGTTCCTAGTAATCGACTACTATAATTATAAACTGTTTTGATGTCAAATATCACACTTCCTAATAAATTTAATATATAACTCTTCACGAATCCAAGATTTGGACTTTAGTTTACGTAGTGTCACATATTTTACGTATGGGAATTGTGAAATTAGTAACAGCAGGAATGGCGCCAAAATTCTTGTGTAATCAAAGTATTTGTCACGGATTCTGTGTAGTGTGAAATCGTGACGTCAGAAATTTGTTGTCGATGAATATTTTGTTTCCTTTTAAAATCCATTTTATTTTTTTCTCGCTACTAACGATGTGTGCTGAAATATATCAGAAGCGCTGAAGATAGAAAAAAGTCGATTTGTCACAGAAGCCGGCTTCTTCACTCACTGTAGTGAAGCTAACTTTTAGTTTTTTTCATTGAACGTTTTAACAAAAATGTTAAAGGGAATTTATGCTTATATTTATTCAAAGGTAATAGTTTGGACATTTTTGGAATCGATTGACAGTGAACTCGTTTGTTGGATATTTTTATATAGGGTGTTCATGAAGTCTTAAAATTTTAAAATATGCAAAGGGAATTAATCGATACCATATATTGTTTGGGCCCTCACAGATGTATTAAATGAAACAAAAATATCTAAACAATTACTGATTAAAAACGAATAAACCCAATTAATATATATTGAGAACTGACTTCATAACAACATTTAAATTGTAAATGGGACTTTATGGACTTTACCCTGTATTTCAGAAAGTTCCGGAAATAAAAGTCTCGACTCAGAATAATTTTGAATAATAAAATTAATGGATTTATGGGAGAAAACTTCCAGCTTATAGTAATAAAATTTAGAAGCTCATGTTTTTTTTTAAAAAGAAAGTAACTATTACCCCAACAACAAAAATAGCAACAATGCTCAAAACATTTTTTAGATGTCCACAAATGTCCACTAAAGCGAGGATACTCAATTGGCTGACTGCGGTCCGAAAACGGACCTTTCTAGTGTTCGGTCCGAACCGCACCTAATTCTTTATTTTGGACCATTGGCCCTGTGAAGGTTTATTTTTTAATAAATGACTTCATCGTTTCAAAGGTTACTTTATAATTTGTTCATATTTGCGCCTGACATATATGAAAAGTACTGTAACGCCATAATGAATAATGCAAATGTCGATATATTGAGTAGCGAATAATCATTAGCCGGTCGAGGAAGCGATCGTTAGAGGATGTTGAAATATAATTTATTGAGAGACCGGTTTTCAGTAATTTTGAAGTTTTATAAGCAAATATTCAGTAAAAATAGTTGAGTAGCCCACTACTAAAGAATAAATAAAAAAATAGTTCAAAAATTGTTGAATATTCTGATTCATAACCAACGTATAGCTTCAAGTACCCCAACATAGTTTAGTTAAAATAATACTTGCAATAAATTTAATACTACCAACCCCTACTCCAAAACCCACGCCATCTCTCAAGACTATTTTAGTCTTGTTATGTTTGCATAGTGTCCTATCAAGTTTTTTTATGAATACTCAAGGACTATTTTCTAATCTTAAAGGACACCAAGGGGAATTTATATCAACTTATGACCAAACAAAGACCACGTGACTCATATTTTATGGCGTCACAATGACATAAATATAAACAACAGTATACCACCCACGAAAGTATATTTATTTATACACTTATAAATGGAAATACGAATCGTCTTTTTGACTAAAGTGGAAAATGGTTTAAAGAGATTAGGAAGAATATATACTATATCACTTCTCATTGTATTACATAAAGTGTACTAAACATAAAGTGTACTAATGCACCCACGACCATGTTTTCGTGCGCGCATTCCGTAGTGCGGATGTTCTCAAACTTTTGGTGTTATGGAGCCCGTGAAAGGGTTGACTATTATCTACGACTCACTAGCCCCACAAGTTTGACACGATACAAACATATTAATAAAGTAGTTTTGAAATGTGGAAACGAGGTGGTAATTGGAGCATGGCATTATGTATTGGAACTTCCTATATATAATGTCATATTTGAATTAACGCTACCGTTGTCACATTTTATTAATGCAGTTATTGCTTCTTTGGACAACTACAATATTAACTAAGTCAGATTTTAATAAGCAAACAAAAAGTTCGCGGAGTCCCTCGGTTTCTCTCGCAGAGCACAGGGACTCCGTATAGAGCACTTCGAGAACCTATGCCATAGTGAAAACAGTTATTGAGATTCATATCATTAGTAATTTGTCCCTTTTCGAACACATTATGACGTACAATATTCAATACAATCTCTTTTTTTAAATTCCCATTTCAAAGACCTCCTTGTAGACTCTCAATGTACTGTCAAAATGTCTTGTAGTTAAATAGGAAATACATTTTTAAATCCCGTAAAAAAGTGCATACTCATACCAACTCATAGATTTTTCTAAAAATAGAGTTCAAAACCGAGATCGCTCAGCCTTCTAACCACGATCACATGTCTTTGTGGTTTAACAATTTAATATTAAAAATAGTACATCCTCAAAATGCTTTTTATATTTCGTATATAAAGAACCGGTTTTTAAACTTTTTGGAAAAGTGCATACTCATACCAACTCTAAGCTAAAGTAAACATCGGTTTTTAAGATCTTAGGAAACATTGACAATAAGAAATGTATTCTAAGGTAGACTCGTGTATCTATGAGTTGATATGTGGTTTTGTATTTGAACAGATGTTAGAATGAATGAGTAGGGCAAAATTATCATGACCGCAAAACTGCTTTGAAATAACGCTAGTTTGATTTCATCGACAACAATGACGTTATATT